GATCTTTTGAGGCCCCTTCCAACCCCTAATAGTCTGTCATTCTGTGACTCTCAAAGCATTGGATCCACTTCCAAGATGGGTACCATAAATGACACTTGCACCTGAAAGGTGAGCTGGAGATCCAAAGTCTGGAATTTTAATGAGATCTGCCCAGCTTCAGCAGGTGAGGGTTAATGTAATGACCCCGGGGCGGTGGTAACCTGCATCACAGCAACTGGCTGACCAGCAGGCCCACTCCTAGAGCCGGCAGTCTTCTCTGAGAAAGCAGAGATATGTCAGAGATATTGCTCTACTTTTTTTTAGCTGTTGTTAAGCTGAGAAACTGTGTGAAAAATTCATTTTCTAGAAGATATTTTTAAAAGCTTCACTCTTCAGCTGCAAACTGACATTTTGCAGTGAAATATATTTTTGTACTGTCTAGAAATTAATTTTTTCACATTCCTCCCCTGAGGCAACGCCATCCGTGAAAATTATAGCTGTGCCAGTGACGTTACAGTGTTAAACAACTGGCTTTTTCATAACTAAATGCTAAGTTTAAAATGAAGTAACTCTTCTCAATGGGCGAGTTTGTATCACAGTTAAAAGGAAACAAGTCCCAACCATCCAGAAACCTTAGATTTAGCTTAACTTGCTTTTCAATTTTTGCTACTTCTAATCCTTGTCTTGCTCTGTTATTTGAGAGCATGTAAGTCTGGCTTTTGCGATTCAGGTCATTTGTGTCTCTTCCAGTCTTCAAAAACTCCAGCCCAATTAGTGTTATGAGGACTGTGCAGCTGGGTATCATCCTCCAGGAATGATCCAGTGCCTGCAGCAAACCAGCACGACTGAAGCGCAAAAATTCTTGCAGTTTTACCTGCCAGCCTGTACAGGGGACAGCTTTAAATAAAAAACCTTAAGCCTGACAGTACTGGATTGCTTCTTGCTGTCCTGCTGCTGCCACACTCATCTCTCATTCTGCTCAAACAGCCAAGACACAAGAAGAGGAGAAGAGCCGTTCAGCTGTTCTTACGTTCCCATAGGAGTGCCATCCAAAGCAAAGTAGAGGAGGCAGGGCTCCTAATACTTGCACCTGGGCAGGCTCTTCAGAAGAGAAGTCCTGGGGCAGCCAGGACAGTTTCTCTTTTGCAGACACACGTGGTGGAAACATAACCAGTACACATGATACCCAGAGACTTGAGTTTTATCCCAAACTTTGTTTCTAAACCTTTGCACGAGCTGTGGGCAAATTACAGAATCACAGAATGTCAGCGGTTGAAAGGGACCTCGAAAGACCTAGTCCAACCCCCCTGCCAGATCAGGATCACCTACTGTAGATCACACGGGAACGCGTCCAGGCATTTGTGTCTCTGTGGTTCTGACCCGTATTACATAGCAAAATGTACTATTTTGGGCTCCTCAGTTTACGAGTTTATAATTGTATTACAAAGAGTGCTAGAAAAGTCTAACAAAATATCCCAACCCAACTGCTTAAGAAGAAAAAAGCAAATCCCAAAAGAGTGCAAAAGGGCAGAGGCACTGGACACATAGATTGCAGAGGTGGTATTAAGAGCAGAAGTAGACATATGCACAATTTGATGCATGTTCTGTCTTTTCAAACTGAGTTTGTACCTAATTTGATGCATAAGTTGCCTTTTTGAACAGAGCACGTGTACACAACCATCTCACTCCTATACTGTAACCTTAAAGTAAAAAAAAAAAGAAATCTTAACAGTAACATTCTTCCAATACTCTAATGCATTTTAATATTTTACATCAGCAGTTTTGACTTGAGAGCTCTGTAGACACATTTATTATTCAGCTCTGCAACCATACTATAAACTGTCAACTCTTCATCACTGTCCACTTTGACAAATTACTCTCACCACAGCATTTCCAAGTTATCCTCAGCAGCCAACACACCTCATAAATCCACATCATTGTAGTGTTATTAGAATTTCATTTCATGCTTGCATTCGCAAACATTTAAGCTTTCAACCTCTGCTGCTGGGCATTAATCATGGAATTAATCGCAGGATTACAAATGCCAAATTTAAACTCAAGGTTAATAACACGCTCGACCAATATTAGTTTTATATTCTGTCATGGGAAAACACTTCAAAAAGAAAAGTACAGGACCTTTGTCTGAAGTTACCAAATACACAGACTAATTGTACTCTTGTTCCATCATGAAATGACAAGTTGCTCAAATTCAATATTGTTGCTTAAAAAATATATTCAAATCTCTAGACCCTTGTAAAAGCAACCACTTGGCACTTGTAAATCTGCTTGCATTTTGCCATGAGGATAAGCTGAAAGTTCAGTTATGAAAAAACCTAACAGCATCAACTGAGTTTTCAAAACTGATGATCAAATAAGACTGTCACAGAAAATACTGTGACTTAATAGATATACAAAGTAATAAATGTCATTTCAGAATACTAGATCCTCACATTCAGTTGCCAGGTACCCTCATGTCTAAGATACATCTCCATTAAAAACATGAAGCATCTGCTGGCTGACAGAACACTAACGTGCAAACGTGAGTTCATTGATGCTAAAACATAACCTTTTAGCAGAAACTTACATCAAGTTCAGATGATTATGAAACCATATCTCTAGCTTCTGTGATAAATAACAGGATAAATAATATAGTCATCTTCTATCTTTTTCTTCCCCAGCTTCACAGCCCATAAATAAATTAACATTTGGTACTAGCAATGGAATGAGTCAAATTTGTGATTCAGACAAGCCTTTTTTTATTTCTTCAGATATATGTTTCAGATATGCATTTAACTGTTACTGCTGCTTCAAGCAATGCCTCCAAAAAGTTCAATGACAGAACTGAGTAAAATAACAGAAACTGCTTTTATTATAACTAAGTCACTTATATAATAGACTTACTCTTTTAATCTCAGATACATAACTTAAAAAACCCAGGCCCAGCCTCTCAAATGTGCAAAAAATACAAAATGAATATTAGTTTGCAATTCTGCAGCCACATTTGCTCTTGCAGTTCCCTACAAGCAGTAAGCTGCCAGATATCAATACCACCCCAAGACCATTGCCTTACATTATCGAAATTTTACTAACCAGAAAGAAGAGGTCAAGTGATTAAACACACCTGACTGTTCCTGGCACACACTCTACAAACCAGTAACAATAATAATAGACTGACAAAATTCATTCTTGGAAAACATGTGTTCCTCAGGAAACAGGAATCCTGCAGAGAAGCCACCAAGGAAGCACTTACTCAGCCGTGTACAAAACAGGGCCTTTGGTTCAGATGGATACCCAAAGATTTTAGCCATCATATCTCCAGTTCACTCAAACCTGCACCTTTCAGTTTTTATTGTCTTCTGTTAACAAACTGCAATTCATGAACAAATTCCAAGCAGGAAGTGTCCATGCTGCTAAGGAGGAGGTACCACCTACGCCCACTTTCAAATTTTACACTCAAAATGCCTCTTCTAAAATGCCTCCCTATTACTACCTCAGGAACTACATGGAAAGCAACAGAAAAAGTGTTTTGAGGCAAGGATCTATGACTGAGCTTCACAGTTCAAGTTTTACAGGACACCTAGTGTGGATTCCCAGGAGAGTTGTTCGTTATGTCACAACAGTTATAAACACTAGAATTCCCCAGGTTAGAAATCCTTGAATGACTTATGAATAATAGCAACACACTTCAAAATAGCTTTCTCCTCTTTACAGAATTTTCCTGAAGATAGTTATAATTTCTTTTGAGAAAAGTTTGCAAAGTTACCAGAAATATGTAGACACTATGATGTTCCCCTTCTGTAGATTAAAAGATTACTGACCTCACTGAGGTAAATAAAAAAGGAGCATGTGGATCCATCTACACCGTAACTTGCGTAACAGGGATCCGATCGCCACATATCTTTCATCCACTGTAACAGAACAAAACCAATCTGTCAGGTTTAAGCACCACGTAATAATGACACGCTATTTCACACTGAAGTTGGAGTAAGAGCGGAAGGCTGCAAGTGACTGTATCCAACCATTTCATTAATATTTTGCAGCATGCTGCATCTCCACACTCAGCTACGCTGGGGAAGTAACTACAGACCAGACGTGAACACAGTTGATACAAACTAGTAGCCAGGCAAGCAGAGACAAATATCGAGAGAGGAATGTAATAAGGATCCAGACGTATGGGTGTGGCGGAGGGTGACTGCATTGTCCCCCACCCCATGTTACACTTGTTCTGGAATTTAACAGATCATTTCAGTTACCGAGACTGAAATCTGCACAACTCTGCCAAGAATCTGCCATTTCTGCAGAAACAGTAATTAATTTAAATTCCTATTTTAATATTCAAATAATGAATTATATAGTCACTGTGCAAGCCAGTTTCTCAAAACAGATCAAAACATACACCAGAGATTTAATATGCAGTTTTATTTTCTGCAATACAAGTGTCTATGAGTTTTATGTATTTAATTTTATATTAGAAAAAAGGCAACATAATTTCAAATATACTTTGATAGTTATTTGTTTTCACTTGCAGAAATAGATTTTAACACTTGATAATGCTATTTTAGTGTCCGGCAATTTTCGTTTTGTCCCCTACTTTTAAAACCATATCTTCATATTTGAGATGTATCTTGGGGAAAAAAACCCCAACAACCCAAGACTTCCATCTCTGCAAGTTTTTTGTTTTGGTTTGCTTTTTGATTTTTTTTTTTTCTCCCAACCAAAGCCTGATGGCTTTCAGTATTTGGCCTTTAGGGAAATATAGGAATTATGTGAATCAACTGTGAACTTTAAAGTTCTGTTTGTACGCTTACAGCACTGCTTAGCTTCTAAGCAGAAGAGGCAAAAACGGTTTTAACAGAAAAAAAGAAAGGGAGGAACCAGACAAAGCTGTTGGCAAAGAGGGGAAAGAAGTGTAAACAAATGTCTTGCTGGAGCAGAAGAAGGGCTGTACACACAGAATTCCAGTCCTGGGGTAGGGGAACACCAAATGACTCATAATGAGGAAGAAAATAGGGCTTCTCAAAAAGGAGAAGAAAGTTTTTGAACAACAAAGCAACATTCGAATAATAAGGCATTTTGTCTTATACCATATAGTATTTTAACATAATATGGCATTTTATTCCTGTCTTAATAGGATGCTACTTTATTTCTCTGCAGCATTAGTATTAAAGGCTTGAGGTGAGTAATGCTGTGGCGACACACACTTCTAAATATTCTAGTTTTTGACCCAGTTGTTCTTGTTTTATGCCATTGTCTGAGAAGTAACCTCTTGCAATACAGGTTCAGTTTTTAACAGAACACACAATAAGATGAAAAACAGTACACTTACTTACCTTTATTTTCCCTTCACAGTGAGGAAAACCATCCATAGGAGGCAATTCACACTGTTCTTGGGCTCCATTTATGAGATCTAAAGATAAACATAGACCATAACTGAATTTCATTTTCTAGTTCTGACAGAGAGCTTAATTAATCCTTCTTTTTATTTCCATGAATCCACAATCCAGACTGACTGAAGTTCTACTGTGTAATATTTGTTATATCATGCTCTTATAGAAGAAAATGGATGCATAAATTTCAACTCTGACTTGCAGTAAAAGTGCCGAATTACAAAAACTGGCCTATGAAGACTTAAAAATTAAGCAAAACATACTGAGAATAATAAAAATCAAAGTATCTTCCTAACTGACGTGTGCTTAAAACTTGCAGCAGTGTTTCCAATTGTCAAACATTTGTAAGATATATATATTGCTCTTAAAAATAAAAATGAGTTTTTCAAGTTCTGTTATCACTTTATCAAATACTCATGACAGGAGACTTGGCATCAGATATATGATCCAGTTAATAAATGCTGCAATACAATCTAATTTTACAACTGAGTAGCACTACATTGCATCTTATGAGAAATTTTTCCTATGGTCTCCCAATATATTTTTTCCATTTTTGACTATTTGAAAATTTATCAGTCTAGATTTCTGCAAAACATTAAAGAGTGTAATACAGAGCAACGCTTCTCACCCATGAGCCAAGGAAAAAGAAACAGTTTTAAAGGACATTACCACATCTACTCCAGGATGGGACTTTCCTCTAAGAACTCTAAAGGAACTTCTACATGGCCTTTAAGGCAAGAAAAATTATTAAGGTGGTGGAGAGATTCATCCCAAAGGCAATGGAGGATAAGGTTTTCAATTTAGGTAGTTCATCCCAGAGTTACCTAAATTATACCTGCATAATTTCTGGTTCTTCCCATGGGCAAGAATCAAGATCATTAAACCCAGTCATTCATCAACCTAGGAACCCATCACACTATGACAGTTACAGTGTACGACTTCACCCAGGCTATGCTAATGAGAGATCTCAGGGTAAAAAAAAAAAAAGACTGCAGCATTAGAACAGTGTAACGACAAGACCAGTGGATAAAAGTTAGAATGTTGTATTATACATTAAAATCCTCTCCTAATTTATCCGAAGATTTTCTGTTTTTTTTCAAGCAGCTTCTTTTAAAGCTAAAACCTGAAATGTGAGCGAAGCATTGCAAAACGGAGCGGTTGGGGGAAGAAGAATCATGCCAGGAAGACAACGCTTATCTGGCAGTCTTTTCAGCAGCAGTAATTTGACAAACTGAGCTGTACTTCCAGTGACAATAACAATGAAGCAAAGTAGTTTTTAAGATGACTTTGTAATTTCAAATCAATAAGCACTTTCAAAACGTTCTCCCTATCTTATTTTTACAGGATTCTTGAAGACTAGACCACTGACATCTACAGCTCTGATTTCTGCTCCAAGTAAGAACATACAAAGCATGCATACAGATATCAACAGCTTAAATTATGTTCTCAATTCAGTCACTACAGCTAGATAACAATGGAACTTTTTGCTTTACTACAGTTCAGGCATCAGACCTTTTTCTACTTGAATCACACTGAAATCAGAGCTTGAGATCAAACAGTAACAAACCTACCTTAAACCAAAAAGAGGCATAGTTAAAATGATAGCAATTTTCAATAATCAGTATAATGGCATTTGCAAACTCACAAGCCTGAACAGAAAACAAGTACAGAGCTTTTCATAAGGCATGTCAAATTCAAATCTTCCTAAAACATAAAAGACATATGAAATCAGAGATGTATCAGTTCAACCACAGGGAAATTTCAACTTTCAGCACCATACTGAACTCTGAATTTTAGGGTTGAAAATTCTGATTAGAATTGCCTAGACATTCAACCAAACAAGTTCTTCCTATCAATTTCAAAAGCATCTGGACACGTTATGCTTGTCACGCTCAAAGGATTTTTAGCTTACCTTCCATAGCTACTATATAGAGAACCAACTAACTCTAATTAGCAATATTCAGAAAGGTAAAAGACAATTGTAAAACCCTTAATGAAAAGGTATTATTCATGGTATTCAACATACATTTCCACGTACATTTTCCTCTGCAACAGTGGGTATCCTTCCTCAGTCACTACTCACCAATCACCGTGCCAGCTCTACCATTCACCTGACTCTTGGCTGGATCACTGATACGGAATCAGTTAAAAATACTTCTTGCTCAAGACTTAAGTGAAACCAGAAACAATTCTTTTCTTGGCACTACAGAAGAAGCAAAGCAGAGATGGGACTGACAGTCCCCCAGGAGCTGCAGGAGGTACCACTGGCACAGCCTAGCAAAGTCACTTAACAAAGTGTAACATACAGCCTTTGGACTGCTTGATCTGGGCTAAATCACCTTCCTCTGCAAGACACTCACTCCTCCTTAGACCTGACGTTACTCCAGTTCCTTATTTGTCAAAAGCAAGAACGTACTCAAAAGCTGTTCTTCTGCCCTCTCTGTTGATTGAAAGGTACAGCTTGCTAAAAACAAGGATCCACGAACTTTGACATTTAAAATAAAAAAAAACCCTAAATAATGTCTTCTATCTCAAGTTAACTACACTATCATATAACCTTCCCCTTCAGAAGGTTAATCAAACAAAATCTGTTTTCTGAAGTCCTTTTCATTATAGGGTAATACATAAGCAGAAGTTAGAAGCCTATCATGTTGCATTTTAATGGGCATCTTGTGACACGTCTAAGAAAGGAAGGATGGAGAAAAAAAAATACGAAATACAGACAATGGCCTATTTTTTGGTAGATACACAACTGTCCAGATATCTGTTTGCTTTTGTCATGTGTAAGCACATTTTCTGCATGCAAGTGTGTTTTTGCAGATAGGCAGTGATCTTTGCTACTGTTCATTGTTCACGGGATTTTCCCTGTGTTTGCAAGACCTACTTGCAAGACTAAAAATTGCCATCTAACAGCCACATATTGCACCGGCCATACACTTCCAAGAGCTCACATGAGCTGTGGCAGTACTACACACAGACACTTGCCAAGCAGAAGGCCAATACTCCCAGCACTCCCTGTTCCTGCCCATGCCCAGAAGAAAAAAGCCAGACATTTATGTCAGCACAAGCTACCGATTTTCTCAGGCTTGTGTTCCTCCCTGTGGTCAGCTGCACTAGGGGTTTTCCAGAGCAGTTCCACTCTTGCTCTTCCACCCAGATGACTTACGAGCAGCATACTGATCCCCCTGGGATAATCTGTATGTGTAGGGA